ATTAGGATTTTGCTCGACATATACATGGACATGTAGGGATGCTCTCCCTACTGGCTGGACCAGAAGAGGCAGTCTCCCATTCAAACGTCTCCCACGTGGTTGCGTGAAACGAGGGGGGCTCTCCTCCAAAGTTCTTTGTGTGATGGAAGTAGTCAAGTAGCCTTGGAAGATCATATGTATGAGATGGTGAATGAATGGAACAAATGAATCAAATGAATGTATGAGTGCAATGCATGAGATCATATCCCATTCATTGCTCATACATACGGAGTATATAGTGGTCATTCATCACTTTTTCTACTCCAAGTCTTGAGATCGAATGGCGTTCATGCATAAAGTGTAGGCATTCATGTATAAAGTGTATGCCTTTGGTTGGAGAGGTCACCTGAAGCTTGCTCTCGACAGTACATGGAAAATGGCTCAAATTCAGCCTTCGCTGGACTTGCGATTTTGATTTTCCGTTTTCGTCATGCCCCTATCTCTGGGCTTCATCTCGGGCTATCCTGACCAGTGCAAGGCCAGCGGCACTGGTGGAGACAAAGAGGGGCTGGAGGGGGTCTCAACCCCCAAGAAAAAATTTCTAATGTAATTATGTATGCATAAATATTTCTAATATGTAAAAAATATTTGTATTTTAAGCTATGCCCCTACAGTATAAAATTTTCATGCTCCAACCCTCTCGATATTATATTTCTGGCATCACAAGCGGCCTGCAGTGTGCAGTGTGGAGTACTGTGGAGCACACTTTCTTGTTTACACTTCATGATTTTTTTTAGTTATGATATGCCCCTTTTTCGATTACATCATTTGCAATGGAGCCAAAGATTCATTATTTTTTGGCTTGAGAATATGATGAAATAAAGCAAAATGACTCACTAAACTGTCTGTGCTTCTTTGTTATGAAGCAGCAGTTGGCCCATGCAATTTTGGAAGCGATTTTCACTATGGGTCATCCGGAAACAGTCTCTTTGTGCTTTAGTATAGGGGTAAGACTGCGTACATCCGACCCCCCTTACCCCACCATAGGTGGGAGCCTTTGCGGCACTGGGGTAAATGAAAATGAAATGATATGCCCCTTTATCGAGAGGCCTAGCATAGAGCGCGGACTCTGTGAGTGAAAGGCCAGCATGGTGAGCGGCATAGAGCTCGCTCGCTCGCTTAATGAATTAAATTTATGATTTGTAGTCATTCCATTGGCTTGAGAGGTCCAGAACTATTAGATGCTCCCCTAACCAGTACTGTCCATGGAATCCTGAGAAACTTCACACGGGTCAGTCATTCAAGTACTCATCACATACAAAACATGCTAAACTCGGGAGCTCTTAGCAAATGAGCTTTTTTAAAAGTATGTGCACCTTGTTGGTATGAATAGAACTTTTGATCCTTTTGAGATTCTCATAGTGTTTACCCCTACTTGGGAGCGCAATGCCCCCATAACGTCCATAAGCTGATCATAATCAAGCCCAAGGATCCTCCCCCGCTAAACGCGTGATTTGATACCCTAGATCAACACACTATCGCCGGTTGCTATGATACTAGTTGTAACAATTCAACCCTGTGAGTTCCAAGGTGATATTTCTGAATGCTCTCCATACCTGGCATTATCCTGACAAACCAATAAAAGCCTTTAATGCATGCTTTATCCTCCCTAGTTTGCGCTTGAGAAACTTCCTAGTAGGGTAACACATCCTAAGATTACTATTGTGCAAACACATTCAATCCTGAAGCAGCAAATGAACTACCTTAAAAGTAGGTGCACCTTGTTGATATGAATAGTATTTTTAATAGATCTTCCGAGTGTTACATGGTGGAGGTCGAGCAGTGTGGAGTAGCGTGGAAGTCGCTCGCTCATACCTAATACTATTTTTCTAGGGAATGCTCTTTGTGTGAGCCTATTGTCCAATGTGAAGCTCAAACCTCACAACCTCGGTCAGTGCATCTGTGGCTCTGTGCATGGTCACACGTTTTTCTAGGGCATGCTCATTTTGACTTGTATATTGATCCAATGAATATATATTAGTTTCACTGTTGTTTGATTTAGAGACCATTTGGGTTTGGATCACGTGTTAGGTATAGCCCTCTCACTACTTAAGTCTTTCTATAAATCCTCCTCAGGCAAGGATATATTTCCTCTTGAATGGTGAGCATCCCGCCAGAGCTACCACTTGGGTGGGACTGTTTCGGACCTGTTGTGTTTCGGACCTGTTGTGTTCTGGTATAGTTTCTGAATGGCAAACTTCTCTTTTGGATGAATCAGTAGACAACGTATAGTAGCCAAACTTTCATCTCATACTAGTATGAGTATCTTGTGTCATATCAAAGCTTTCGGTACTACTAGACCCAACAACTAGTAACACTAACTCTAAATCAAAATAATTGTGAACTTTAGCCTCAACCATTTTTTTACAAACTTCACCAATAATTTGTTTGGTAGAATATAATTCGGGTGAAATGTATTAATTGTATATTAACTATTAGCATTGTTGCGTTTTGGTACCTTAACTTCTAAATGAATCAAATCAATACCATAAATTGTACATTAACTATTAGTATTGTTGCGTTTTGATACCTTAACTTCTAAATAAATCAAAGTCTTTGCATCTATTAGTCTTTGCATGAAACATTAGTGAAGCTCAGACTACCTTAACTATTAGTCTTTGCATGGCCACCTAAAGAGTTTTGAAGAACTTGTGTTAGTACTATATACTCCGTATATTTTTTATTGTACATGAGAACTTTTATGTGCTAGAGTGAATATCACATCCCTCAATGCAGATAAAGATTTGTTTATGTTTTTTGAAAGAAAAAGATTTGTTTATTAATTATTATGTGTTGTGCTTCCCGTACCGTAATCTATCCTCTGTGGGCTGTGGCCTTGGGTCGATCAATTCTTTCACTACCGGCAGGATCTACCAAATGTAGACAACCACGTAAAACCCGAGTTTTTTCCCAAAGGAAGGTAGTCTCCAATCTTATTTCCCAAAAGAAGGTACTTTTAAACTTATTTATCAAATGAGGGTAGTTTTTTCCTTGTCATCCAATTTCCGCCACATCACCTACTCCACATCATTCACCGTCATCAATCATTCCACGTCATCAGCCATATGGGTATTCTTTTAAAATATAAAAAAATCCGTAGCCCCCGGGAATTGAACTCATGACCAAAATGATGGATTTGCATCTTGGAACCCACTAGGCTACATTGACTTGTTTGTACAATCACACCTTTACAAGTATTTAACATCTATGTATGCAACGTATTTTGATATACGCAATTCAAATATAATTTAAAATAGCTCTACATTAATTAAATAAAATGAGAAACAAAAATGGCAATGGCTGGACTAATTCATCCCATATTTAATACAAAAAATCTTATATGACTAATGCGTAAACGTGTAAAAATATAAATTCCATGACAAAAAAAATCCAACACTAAAATACAATTTTTTACAATCACAATATAAGTATTTTACAAGTATATTGACATTTATTTGACATATACTACATACTATATATTTAAGCACATGACATCACCAACTTAATTCATATATTAATCGTTCCTTTAGAGACATATTAGTCATTCTTCAAACAATTAAAGAATATGATAACATAACATTAAAAGAAGAATATGATAAATACTTAATGAGATATACAATTAAAAAATTAAAACTCAATTAAAAATTATAACAAAAACGTAATTTGATATATGCTATACAAGAATAACTTAAAATAAATATACTCTAAATAAAATATAAAATAAAAAATGTCAATATAGGTTCAAATCCATATCAGACTTGTGAAATACTTATATTATGATTGTAAAAAAAATTGTATTTCAGTGTTGGATTTTTTTTTTAATTTTTGTCATGGAATTTATATTTTTACACGTTTACGCATTAGTAATATAAGATTTTTTTATTAAATATGGGATGAATTAGTCCAGCCGTTGTCATTTTTGTTTCTCGTTTTATTTAATTAATGTAGAGTTATTTTAAATTATATTTGAATTTCGTATTCAAAATACGTTGCATACATAGATGTTAAATACGTGTAAAGGTGTGGTTTTACCAACAAGTCAATGTAGCCTAGTGGGTTCCAAGATGGAAATCCATCATTTTGGTCGTGAGTTCAATTCCTGGGGGCTACGGATTTATTCATTTTGGTCGTGAGTTCAATTCCCGGGGGCTACGGATTTTTTTATATTTTAAAAGAATACCCATATGGCTGATGACGTGGAATGATTGATGACGGTGAATGATGTGGAGTAGGTGATGTGGCGCAAATTGGATGACAAGGAAAAAACTACCCTCATTTGGTAAATAAGTTTAAAAGTACCCTTAATTGGGAAATAAGATTGGAGACTACCCTCCTTTGGGAAAAAAAACCCCATCCGTCTCCAAATCCATCCCCCGTACATGAACAGTAAGTACACTATGGCCTATGGGACCGACTGCGTCTTTTTTCATATTACTACGTCCGTCCCGCTAAGATTGTCTCATTTTACCTTTTCGGTCCGTCCCACTAAGATTGTCTCATACCAAATTTGGTAAAAATTGTGTGATTCTAAATCATTTTTACTTTATTCTTATTTTATGAAAAATATCAACCACATGAGCCATTTTTTATAAATTTGCGTGTCACTCCCTCTTGTCCCATTGTTAGTGGAACAGAGGGAGTATATCATACAAAAATGCTAAAGGCCACATATGTTTTGGAACACGGGCCAACACTTTTAAATGTGGCCTCATTTGGATCACACATAATGTGAAGTAAAAATGGGGTACCCCAAAATGGGGTACCCCAAAATGGGGTACCTGTAGCACATCTCTATATCATATACTACATATTCATATAAATATTTGTACCACAATTATATACTCCATCTGTCCCACAAAATTTCTTCGAACTTACCATTTTGGGACGCCCAAAAAAATTCTCATCATTTCTCTTTTTGGAAACTTGTGTGACTAATATCATTTATCTTCTTCTCACTCAACTACAACTATACATTTTCATTTTATTATCACTTTTTTATTAAGTGTGTCAAGTCAAACTAGGAAGTATGTTTTGGGATGGAGGAAGTAGTTTTATTGTTATTCATAAATCATAATCCTATTGATTTAGATAGTCCATCATGTAACCGTAAGAAGAAAGTTTTAATTCTTTTACTTCTCGAAGTCATGGAAAAGTCATGTAAAATGCCCCATTGGATCAACATCTTTGTGCCGAGCCATGAGCGATACTAGATGCAATGACCGATGAGAAGACAGACCTACTTTTGCCACAACACCAATACACCATAGACGATTTAGGAGTGTTTTCAGTAGAATCAGAAGTAGAATCAGGACCAGTTTTCAGAAGCTGATACCTCCCAGCAAAAAACTGATTCTGAGGAAGAAGCTGTCCCGATACATGAGGATCAACAAGGGGGAGACCCCCCCCTGCGAATATTAGCAAGGAATCAATGTAAGCAAGGGTGTAGTCAAGGGCTACAACACCGTGAAAAAGCATTCGAACGCTCGGCTGCTCTCTACCCCGTAAAAATGGGCAAGGACAAAGGGGAAGAAAGATACACAAACACAAATATCAAAATTTACAAATTTTCAACCTTTTGATAACTTTATTTACAATGATGAACATAACTCTCTCCATCCCCCTATAATTGTTCAATCTTTCTATTTTTGAATATTCCCCTATTATTGTCTCATTACAATATTTGAAAACATTTGTGTGTCTCTAATTCATTCTTACTTTATTCTCACTTTATCAACCACATAATTCTATTTTTCTTAAAAACCAGACAACTCCATTCCGTCTCAATATTAACGGGGTATTTAAAAGCAATGTCTAAATCAATTATTGAAGAAAATTTGTCTTTCATTTTTTCAAAAAGTCTTGCCTTACACAATTACATGTACGGAGTATATGTTTAAGGGTTGACTCAATCCTCAATTTAAGAATTATTCCAAAAAACTACAGTATTAAAAAAGAAGTTATTAAAATTTGTTACATGATATTTCTTTTAATTAATACTAGTATTAAATTTCAGCGCCATTTTTGCACAAAAAATTTACACTTCGAAGGAGGATTTGAACAATTAAAAAAGATGTAGTACGGCAAATTAAAAAAGCAAACAATCTAAGCAATTTCAGAGTGCATCTGGCAAGATAGGCAGGCCTGTTTGGTTTTACACTTAAAAACCCTCTACACAGAGAGAGGCAAAGGCTCAAACCAATCTATTCTGCCCTATCTGTCTATCTATTATCTATAACCCATCAACAGCAGTGAAGATATTTCATCTAAAGCATAAACTCTTAAGGAATCAATGAGTAACACATACTCACCACTGAAACTCAGGGTGGCAATTCAGATGCAGATGTTTGGGGGACGGAGGACAAAAAGGGAAGAGTCAACAACTCCACAATATTACCATTATGTACACTACCACATTCACCAAGGGTTAGCACTCTGAGCAAAACAAGCTCCTGCTGCTTCAGAGAACCCTAAGCTGCGAGAGGAAAGCAGCGCAAATATCCAAGAAGAGGAGCTGCGGACCCTGCACCTTTTGCAAATCCAGGAGGTACTTGTTGTCCCGAGTTTTGTACAGCTGTTAACGACACATGTATTCCCGACATAATATTAATATCACAAAATTTTACTAATTTTTTTAAATAGATTAAATGAAATGAACTGACACTGCTACTGCCATATAGCAATTGATTCTGTTTCATTCAATTATTACAAAACACATTGAAAATGTTTATTTTAGTTTCAGCCATATTTACATCACCTCGCTGGCTCTGACATCATATTTCTAACTTTCGATGAAATGAGCAGGGTACTTGCATCTCCAACTAGCACTTCACCACCGAAAAAAAGATTTAAACAATAACCCCTCCATCCCAAAACAAGAGTCCTGTTTGGTCGAGATGCAACTCTTAAAAGTCATGGAATTTTACTTGTAATACTCCGTATTAGAATTCTTTTTTTTAATTTAGCTATATATATCGACTTGTTTGCAGCCCACGTTTGGAAAGTTTTATGAAAATTTAGCTTTGTTTGATGAAACAGGTCTCTGTAGGGACAAAAAAGAACTTGTGAAACATGACACTGTTTATTGGAGGGAGGAATCACAGCAGCAAACAACAGCTAGCAATGAATTTAAAGGAGCTTCAAGTAAACGACACATGCATGAAATATCAGGAGGCTTGTTACCTGCACTTCAAACTTGACAACATTCGCCGATCTAGAAGCACCTTGATTTTCTATGATAGCAGATTGATCTTCGAAGTAATTATTACTTTGCAATGACACATTCAACGCTCCATGATAGTAACCGGGAAGGTTTGGAGTCCACCGGCATTTCATGTTGTACTGCCCTATTTTTTTCCAACAGACATTCAACACATGTAGGGCTTTAAGGACTTCCACCATTATTTCACGCGGATGAGCTCGGGACTTTAAAATTGTCAAAGACAAGAAACATTAGATGTTATTTCTAAATAACATCTATAAAAATAAACTCATATACCGAGTATATTATGACCTGTAAACTAAATAAGAGCTTTCTAGGTTGTATAGCTGTAAATACAGGATGCAGTGTAGCCAAATCAAACTCTTGCTTTACATGCATATGATCACAAAACCTATAGAGGCAAGGATGCAATGTAGCCAAATCAAACTCACACATTTGGATCTTGGGAAATATTATGGAAAGAACTTATTTTAGATATTTGTTGATACTTGAATTATTTATATATGTCAATATATAGAGATAAAAAATCTAAATATTTTATTTTAATTAAAATAACTAGCAATCATTTTTCCCCCTTATTTTCCATGGTAAAACACAAGAAAATAGCTTTCTTATAATTTTTACATTTCCCTATCATTTTCCTTGATCGAAGCATACCCCTACATTTACATAAAAAGAATACTAACCTGCAGCCCAAGAGCCCATTTCCTTTCAAGTAGAAACTGTTGTCTTGCACCAACCGGTTGATAATCAATACTCCCAGCGAAGTGTTGCCCAGAAGATAACCCTACAAAATCATTTGAGTTCATAGGGTTGAAACCATATTCCTGCAGAAAAGCACATACAAAAAGTATCAATGTTTACAATTGCAAGAAAGAAAAAATTGCAACAGGATTATAACCAAATATATGTTACAGCCATTGACCTTGGCTCAAATGTTCGTAAAAGCAATTATGCACATTAAAGCTCCAGAATAGATAAGCCCAGGCTGAATAACTATTGTTTCATAATGGAGTCTATTACCCCAACCTCCAAAGCCCCAAACACACAATATTCTTCATATATGTATTACTACCTCTTTCCCAAAAACAAAATCTTGTTACACCATGGACTTGTAAAATTTAGTGAGGTACAAGTGTACAACTATTGGAAATAATCAATTCTAGCTATATATTTAGGCCTACTTGTTGCCGTTGTTGGCTTAACTGAATGCAGCATATTAGACTTATTTGGAACCATTTTATGAATTAGATTACAGTTAATGAAAATCAGCTCCTTTTGTTCAAAGGGACTCTTTTTTGGATCAAATAAGTTTTCAAATAGAACTCGTCTGTTGGCGACAAAATATAGCTTTTCAAATATGAATCTTTCTCTGGTATAGATGACAGATGGAGCATAAGTGATAGCAATGCATTACATAGAATTATAGATAAAAGCGCCGCCAACGCACCATCGATTCCTGGAATTCAGCACCCAGGTAGCCACTGGAAGCACGAAAGCGGTTATCAAGTAGCAAATAGTAAGCAACAGTTCCCTGAGAGAGGCGGGCAAAACATAAATGTCAATTTTGTAAGCTACATACCAAAAAAGCTATAGCAATACACATTAATGTCACCTCATTTGGCACTCTGTTGCGAAGAGACTCAATGAGGTTGTTTCTATCAAATCCCATCTTAATCACTTCTTGTAGTATTTCTTCATCAATCTGCAGTTCAATGGCATATCAACTCTCCACCAGATCTCAAATCCCACTATAGTTACACCCATGGCACTAGGATAAATTAGAAAGTACAAACTCATAGTACTACAAAAGAAATGTAAATGATGACGAAAGAATATTAGGGACAAAGAGAGACACAAAGCCATGTCTCTTGGAAAATAAACACTTGAAACACATAGAACAGTAATAAATTTAATCATAGTAACTTGTGTTCAATTTTTACATCCCCTATATTACTAGTCACTACACCTAAAAGGTCACTTTTTTTAAACAACCTTTATTTTAGTCATAAATAAGTAATTATTAATTATATCAAATACCAATGACCACAGTTTACTGTTGTAGAGAAAAATATCAAGAATTATAGTTTAAGTAACCTTTTTTGCCTGTTGCATTGTATCTGGTGGAGGAACAGCTAGATAACGTGGCAGATGAGCTTGAAACCAAGAGTGTGTGCGAATCTCAGGAATAGTAACTCTCTTCATTGGGTCAACAATAAGCATTCTTGGGATCAAATCCCTTGCACCAGGTGATAAATGGCTGGGAAGAGTGTATATCCCACCCTAAAGAAATTATTTTGACAAAGTAAATGCTAGTAGCAAACAAAAATCAACATTATTAAATTACAATGAGGTAGCTTTAGAGTTTTACGTGATATCCCTACATTCAATCACTGCACGGCAATAAGAAAACAAGTATCAACCCAATAGTATATGAGACCCACAATATTGATTATAAATAATACCTTTATTTTCTTAAAAAGGTTGGGGATATTTTCATCATCAAATGGCAGGGTCCCACAGAGAAGAGCATACAAGATTACTCCACAGCTCCACACATCAACCTCGGGACCAGCATACAATTTTCCTGAAATGACCTGCAGAGAAGGATATATATACTCTGACAATCAAAGAGTATTCACAATATATCTTTCCAACCTAGAGTTATAGACTTATAGTTATATTTGTTTTCTTTTGATGATTAAATTATAAACCAAACAAGGTTAATTTTTAATGATTCAGTACCTCCGGAGCAGCATAATTTGGACTGCCACAGCTGGTCTTCAAGAAATGTCCATCGCGCATAACATTGCTCAATCCAAAATCAGCGATCTTAACATTACACTTGGAATCCAATAGAAGATTTTCAGGCTTAAGGTCTCTATGGACTACCATATTCCTGTGGCAATACTCCACGCCAGAAATGATCTGCTTCTCAAAAATTGAATGACCCATTAGTATGTAAAAAAGGTAAATTGTCAAGAAAATAAAAAAACACCATTAACAACAACATCCAAGCCTTAATCCCAAAAGAGTTTGGGGTCGGCTAACATGAATCAACATATGAAATCAGAATTGAAAAGGAAAAATCAAAACACCATTACAATAAGAACCAAGCCTTATTCCTGTGAAACACCCGATTGGAAAAATCAGAACACCATTACCTGTTGAAAAAACTTTCTGGCTTCATCTTCCTGCAAACGGCCCTTCTCAACAATGTAATCAAACAATTCACCCGATTTCACATATTCCATCACGACATAGATATCTGATGTCGTCTCTATGACTTCATAAAGCCGTATGATATGAGGATGCATAAACAACCTCAGTATTTTGATTTCCCTTCGGACTACACAATGAAGAGCATACAAAAATCAACATAAGATGTCCGTGAAAAACAGCTTCAATGTCTATTAAACAAGAACTCCTTTTAAAAGTTGAAGCAAAATTAGGAGTATTTTACAGATGAGCAGATTACACAGCAGCAGCACAGTATTAAAAAGAACACATAGTTCAGTTAAGTGATACATTGCCTTTGGGAGAAAAGCTTCATGTAGGCAAATCAAATTTCAAAAGCAAACATCTCCAACTCCAAAGAGTTGGATCGGCATAAAGTGGCTTAGTGAAGAAGTCAATTTCACTGAAAATCTAGAATAGAGCCATAATTTGATTGTTTAAATGAAATGAAGTAAAATGAAAGTGAGAATCGAGAAACAAGAACAGATATCATTACCTTTTTCTTCCATTTCCATATTTTTTATCTTTTTGCGGTTAAGAATCTTGACAGCAACTTTATGCCCGGTCAATGCATGCTCAGCTATTTTCACTTTACCGAAGGAACCAATGCCAAGAGTTTTTCCAAGCTTATAGTTCCTCAGGAAAGAGTCCACATTACAACCAATTTGGGAACTTGAACCATCCATCCTCCTATATGCAAATATTAGGTAAGATGTAAAGTAAAATAGACTTGCACTAATAAAAGGTGCCATATATTGTACTTCCTGTGTCCCAAAAAAGATTTACAAGTAAATGAAAAAACAACGACCCTGGCAACTAACTACAGATCTCAAATATTTCAAAAACAAGTGAAAATTTGCATCTCCGCCTACATGAGTCAACTATTCTAGGAAATACACGTTCACATCCATGTATTTACATCCACATATGAGTAAAACAATCCTGAAACTCAAAAAAAAAAAAAAGAAATGCAAACAAACTGAAGGTTGAGAAGCAAATAAAATTTGTGAAACTGTAAACATATGGAGTTTATGAACTCAATAGCAAGATACACAGAGAATTATATTTTTATTTTAAAAATTAAGAGGGGGGGAAGTAGGAGAGAGCTCACGCGTGAAGATTGAAGGTTGGGTGGAAACCAGAAAAGAGTCAAAAGACTGGAAAGAGTGCTAAATTATTAGGTGTAAGAAAAAGCATGCACAGAATTACCCTAACCTAAAACTAAAAATTCCCAAACACACCACCCCCAGCCAACGGATATCGGCTGATCATCTAGGGTGATCTAGCCACCGCCGCCTTCCATCCCCTAATAGTGTGACCAACCCTGGAGCTGGCTATGACACGTTCCTCCAAAAAAATTCAAACCACAGTCAGCAAGTCCCGAAAAACAGTAACCTATTTCGATCATAAGCTGTTTCAGACAGTTACCCTATCCACCTATATGGATTGTGTGTCTAAAAACTACTACTTTGCTGATACGGAACCTAACGAACAAGCCAGGCTAAGCCGACGTTTCGTCTCCGGATCTGATCTTTAGAGAATGTTGAGGCCATTACCGCTTCTGTGACGCGACGGATGCCGTTGGTCGCAGGAGTCGATAAAGGAGAAAAATGGAGAGGGCGTAAATGGGAAGGAGAAAACGAAACGTACGTCTGACTAGGAAATGATGGAGATGGCTTGCCTTAGTAGGTGGGCAGCCGATAGGCGCAAGCTGTCAAAGCTCCTCTACGTCAGAGGATGGAAACCATTGTTGAAACGGCTGAATGATGCGAGGTATGATGCGCTACGGCTGAAAAAAGAAGGCAGGAGGTAGTTTCTAACTTTCTATGGCCTATTTGGTACCCATTGCCCAATATGAGGAAAACATGGACAAAATACAAAAGTAATACTCCTGCCTTATTATTGGAAAACACACTTTTGGTTCAAATACCTCGAATTGGTAGAGGTGTTCTAAATGTCATCCCCGCTGTTTATAATCTTTCTCTAATTTTGGACTTCCCTCAAATGACATTCACGACACATCTTTCAAAAGTGTGATTTAGAGGTGTGATTCACAATGCATCTGTCAATTCAGAAGTGACTAATTGAACGACCAAAAGTGTGATTTTCAACTAACTCGCTCTAAACGGGAAAGTTTATACTTTTAGTAAAATTAAAAAAAAAAAACTTTTTTTGAGAATACAACATAGTCACTTCTATTTGTGGACACCGTCAATATTTTAGTTATTACTCCGTATTAATCATAGTACAACACGTCAACAATACAACCTTGTGAATTATCATGCCAAAAGACACAAACAAATATTCTAATGAGAGCATGATCAACTTGATTCACTCATCATGTAACATGAGTAAACATGGACTAACAAAGTTATTAGAGCATTTTCAATCCTACAATCCTACAATGTGCACGATGCATACGTGGCATGAGAGCTAGCCACATAAATATTACTAGAGATATTACCCAAAATAGAACTAAAACAGTTTGAAAATTCCAAAATAGGACTTTCATGTTTTTATTCCCGAAATAGGACTAATTACTGTCATGTTTTGGCGGTACCAGACTTTAAACATGGCAGTATTTTCCAAATTTGGCAGTAATTAGTCCTATTTTGGGAATAAAAACATGACAGTCCTATTTTGGAATTTTCAAACTTTTTTAGTCCTGTTTCGGGAATTTTCCCATATTACTATCTTTGTTCCCCTAATATTGGGATTGAAGGGAATGGTGTGGTTTTTAAGAAAAGTGGAATTATGTGATTAATAATGAGTTGATAAAGTAAGAATAAGTAAAAATGAATTACAGTCATACAAATATTACCAACTATGGTATGAGACAAAATTAGTGGAACGGACGAGAAATGAAAAATGAGACAATTATATAGTGGAACGAGGAGAGTAGTAAAAAAAATATTTCTCTCCTTATTTGAACAGTTTTGTTTATAAATTCATTCTTGGTATCATTACAAACTCGTGATGTCTGCCTCTCAACCTGCCTTGCCCAATATATATTAATATACATATGAGTGTTGAAGGAAATTACTTTAATGTGCATTCGTTATAGATAGAAAGTGTACCTAGGGATTATATGTATTAAGCTAATTGGCCCATTGGCCCACTCCTTGTAAAACCCTAATCCCTCCTATTTAAAGGGGGCATACTAATGGAATGAACACACTACTCTCACTTCCCTACAACACGTTATCAGCACGTAGCCCTAAATATATTTTTCCCCATTCTCCCTACACTCAATCCGCAGCCGCACCTCCAGCAGTCCAGCCGCGCCGCCAACGGACCGCCGCCTCCCAACACACCGACCGTCGCCCGGCCTCCTCCCCTTCCTAGCCTGCGACTCCCGATTCTCGGATCTCTTTTGAGGTATTTGCTTTACTCAAAATCATTGTAGAACCTTATGCATATGATTTATTGCATCATGTTTACTATTGTGATGAACATCATTGATTTTTTTAGATTAAGTCGTATCATCCATTTTTCTTAGAGATAGATGTAATTTTTTTTCCGTAATGCTATATGTTATAATCATATAGTTGGAATCAATGCATCCCTCTTCGTTTTTATACATCCATGTGATTATACTTTTCCGTAAAGCTATATGCCATATACATATAGTTGGAATAAAAAATCACACGATTAATCTTATTTTTATACATTTTATATGATTATACTTTCCGTAAAAGCAATATGCTAGATACATATAGGATGAATTAAGATCATATTATGTTTTATTTTTTTTTACATATTATGTGATCATATTTTTCCGTAATGCTATATGTCACTTACATATAGTTGGAACCATAATCACATAAGATTACTTCATTAATCAGCATATTAGAACATGAAATCGAGACTTCTCAATTTGATATGTACTAATATCATGTTTCGGTCCGGTATTCCGTAGTCGGTAGTTCCGGTATTCCACCAGTCCTTCACATTAAGCGGTTAATTCATTAATTGATTCATTTCATACTCTGAGAATTTGTTTATACATTATATATTTTAAGTAAGGTTTAAATTCACTTCGCAAATTAGTTCATTGGAGCTGTATGAAGATATTGTTTTGATAAAAACGAAGATTTACATGAATATTCCTAACAAAGAATATAACTGTATTGGAATTTGAAAAGATTTTTCGTTTTCTCAAAGAAAGGTCAATTTTTGCATGGTAGGTGTTGCTTTTCATTTGAGTTGTTCAATTCATACGCCTCTATCACTCCCAATTTAATCTTGAATGGTGGGGAAAAATCAATAGTAGCAGTTTGTCTTGAATATTTCAAGATAATCAAAGTAAAACTTATGAATAATAATAAAAGGTATGAATTACATTTTTTTCTTTAATTGCTATTTCATTTTGGACAGTTTTAATGTCAACCAACGATTATGGATTCTAAATATGCTACTTCAGTTTTATTTTGGACACACAATCACAACTAAAATCAATTTCTGTTCAGTTAGGATTTGTTAATATAGACCTTTTTACAATACCCTTAACAAACGGCTCGTTGCCTATTCACGGGCATTGTATTCTGTTTAAGACTTCAGTTTCCAACACATTCACATATGGTACTCTTTTTTATCAAACATGTAAAAGGAAAGTACTTTATCTAAATCGACTTGCATTTTAGACTTGAAAATCGACAACTTACATGAACATGAAAATTCGTTTAAGCCAAACTTTGATGCCTCATGCCTTCAAATGACAATTTTCTAACAGATTAGGTAATATTTTATCATCTTAAGATGAGTGTTGACAACATGTATTTGATTAAGTAATTGCAGGTATATAGATGACCCCCACTTCAAAAGAAGATGCTTAGCCTTTTCACTGAATCTAAATTCCTGCATAAATTAAAAACAAATAATTGGTCATATGTAATATATAAAAAAATACATAAAATTAAAACATATCATCACCATTCTAGGTTTCCTTCAAGAAGATTCGGCAAATCATACCATAGTTGTTTGCAATATACCCTAATGGTTGTTTTTATATTTTTTAGTTTTATAATGTAGTTTTATTGAATATATCATCATGCTTCTATGTCAATAGATAAATCTGTAACATCTTTAGAATGTTTGATAAATGAGCCTTATATTTTCAACAACTTTGACACGTAACACCATAAACGTTCCCCCAAATTATAAGAATTCCCTTCAAGAAGAATTCATTTTTTCAGATCTTATTTGAAGTTAATCATATTAGCTTATTTTTAAGTACTTGAAATATTCAAATCAAGATCTATCTATAATTTGAACAATTTTCTTGAATAATATGCAGAAATATATATCATTAATGTAAATTTTAGTTTATACGATGAATAGATGTTTCGTGAACTTCATGGAGCACTGCAATTTTTAATGTGGCCTTTCATACCTTTATGAATAGGTTAGAAGTTGACTATACAACCACTGTAATAATTAAACATATACGGAGTAACTTGGTAATAAAAGGGTATGGATGCCGTTCATGTTCTACTGTCAAATAAAGGCTTATGAGTCCACTATCATCTTCCATGTAGTGCTTCAACGCTAATCTCTTTTATATTAGATCACATCTTCTAACTATGACCAGTCAACTGAACACCAAAAAAACAAAATCCAAAGTTGAAATTCGAAAACCACATAACATTGCATTTTCAGCATACACTCTGTGACCTGCTAAACTTTTGACGTGCTAATCTCTGCTTTTTCTTGGCAGACATCTTGAGATAAGCAACACATGAATGATCAAAGAAGTGATTTCAATAAATGTGCAAGGATACAATGTTTTTCATCTTAAAGTAACAATGGCTTTTACCTGATGCCTCATACATGAATACTTGTTCATTTGCCGGGGCAATGTTTTTTTAGATTACTTGATGAAAGCAGACGCAAATTGTTGAGCATGATGATTTTACTCGAGAGCTTGGTGTTTATGTTTGAAAGTCACTGCAGATATTAGATGTTCGGATATGAGTTTACCGTCCTGCGTGTTGAAATTCATCCCCAATGGTCCCTAATTTATAGGAGCGAAAATTCTAGATTTTTCCATTAGAATGTAAAAAGCCACATCGTTGCATGTCAGCATGTGCATACTTCATTTTCTTATTTTATGATTTCCCAGGTGTGTAAACTAATTTTAATTTGTAATTTGTAATAAAGAGTGTACTTCATTGGGATAGTAATTTAATTTTATGATTCAACTAATGTGATACAGATTATTTCAATCATTAATCTGAATACTCCGTATTAAAGGCTTTGTCCTCTTGAGTATTTATTGCTTTGTCCCTTTTTGAAAAGTTCAAGGGCCAACTTCATTATTAAATTTTTATTCAATTTTTTTTTTTTTGCATTTATAGGTTTTCATATTCACTCTCACGTGCAAGACACGTTTTTCCCGCCCAAATTCCCTCCCCACTTTTCTGTTTTTATATATATATAGATATTACGTATATATTACGTACTAGTAATATATATTACGTATACATTTAAAATCACTCTTTCCATATATATATATATATATATATATATATATATATCAATATATTTCTTTCCATATAATATACCAAGAATATATTAACAAATATGGCAAGAATTTAAAAATGATAAGCGTGCATTTTTCTTTCAATTTTTTTTCAAATCTATTATATCTTTCTAAATATATCATAATACTAAATAATGAAACCGTTTTTTCCAATCTGTTTAAAAAAAAAACGTCAACTTTAGGTTAGTATATATATGACAAGTCTTGATCTAAATATCCCATTTTTAAATGCACATTTAGATACATGTGTATGTATGGTTGATTTATGTGTTTGCCTTTTTCACAGTTCACATTTAACATAGTTCACAACAAATATTACCTACCATGTGTTCACACCAATTAATTTTTTTT